GTGAGGCACTCCTTGCTGCAAATACGATTTTGAACCGAATTCCACATAAGAAGACTAATCAATCTCCTTATGAAATCTGGAAAGGTAGGTTACCTACATATAAAACCTTGAAAGTGTGGGGTTGTCTTGCAAAAGTTCAAGTGCCTCTTCCGAAGAGACAAAAACTTGGACCAAAAACAGTGGACTGTATATTTATTGGTCATGCCAATAATAGTTCGGCATATAGATTTTTGGTTCATAAATCTGAAATTGCAGACATTCATATAAATACTATACTTGAATCTGCAGAAGTTGAGTTCTTTGAGGAAATTTTTCCTTATAAAGATAGGTCATATGTTTTGAACAAAAGAGTACATGAGGTTACTACAAGAAATGATGACGATAATCATGCCTCAACTTCGAGAGTTCAAATCCAAGATTTGGAACCACGAAAGAGTAAAAGAGCAAAAATTGCAAAGGATTTTGGTCCTGATTTCCTCACTTTTGTGACCGAAGAAGAGCCTCAAACTTATAAGGCTGCATTAGAACCGTCTGAAGCACCTTATTGGAAAGAAGCTATTCAAAGTGAAATAGAATCCATCATGCAAAATAATACATGGGAATTGGTTAATTTGCCTCCTGGAAATAAACCAATAGGACACAAATGGATTTTCAAGAGGAAATTAAGACCGGATGGTACCATAGACAAGTATAAGGCTCGTTTAGTTGCCAAAGGGTATCGTAAAAAAGAAGGACTTGACTACTTTGACACTTATTCACCAGTAGCTAGAATAACATCTATAAGGTTATTAATAGCTATAGCGTCTGTGTACAATCTTGAGATACATCAAATGGATGTCAAGACTGCATTTCTAAATGGTGAATTAGACGAAGAAATATATATGGATCAACCTGAAGGTTTCATTGTCAAAGGTCAAGAAAAGAAAGTTTGTAAGTTGATTAAGTCATTATATGGACTCAAACAAGCGCCTAAGCAATGGCATGAAAAATTCGATCATAATATGATTACGAATGGATTTGTAATCAATGAAAGTGATAAATGCATTTATGTTAAGAAAACGAAAAATGCTTGTGTTATTGTATGTCTATATGTTGATGACATGCTTATAATGGGAACAAACAAAGCTGTGATTAACTCCACAAAGAAAATGCTAAATTCTAGTTTTGACATGAAAGATATGGGATTAGCTGATGTGATTCTTGGAGTTCGAATTCTAAGGAATTCAGATGGATATGTCCTAACTCAATCACATTATGTGGAAAAGGTTCTAAAAAGGTTTGGACATTATGATTGTAAACCTGCAGTAACTCATTTTGATCCCATTCATAAACTTACTAAAAACGAAGAAGAGAGCGTATCTCAATTGGAGTATACCCAAGTTATAGGTTGCTTGATGTACATTATGAATTGTACAAGACCTGATCTTGCTTATTCAATAAGCCGACTAAGTAGGTATTCAAGTAATCCTGGAAGAGATCATTGGAATGCTTTAATAAGGGTATTAAGATACATAAAGCATACAATAAACTATGGTTTGCATTACACTCAATATCCCCCAGTATTAGAAGGATATAGTGATGCAAATTGGATTTCAAGGAGCACAGACAGTAAATCCATAAGTGGATATGTATTTACACTTGGTGGAGCAGCTGTGTCATGGAAATCATCCAAGCAAACATGTATAGCACGTTCGACAATGGAATCAGAGTTTATAGCCTTAGATACAGCTGCTGATGAAGCTGAATGGCTTAAACATTTTCTGGAAGATATTCCATTCTGGCCCAAGCCTGTGACTGCAATATGTATACATTGTGACAGCATGGCTGCACAACGTCGAGCCAAAAACGCTGAATATAATGGGAAGTCGAGACATATAAGGCGACGACATAAAACCATTAGACAACTACTCAAGAATGGAACTATTTCCATTGATTATATTAAATCTAAGGAGAATATTGCCGATCCTTTGACAAAAGGCCTATCCAAGGATCAAGTGGCATTTACATCGAGGGGAATGGGTTTAAAGCCAACTCAATGAGTTATAACTTGACGAAAACCTAACCTAGCTAATTGGAGATCCCATGGTCTAGGTTCAATAGGCAAACTGGTTAAGGGAAACTCAAAGTAAGATACACACAATCTTTACTCATTCTTATGATGGAAAACAGTGTGTTGCCTGTTAGACGAAAATGGTGAATAACTATTCTTAATAATGCTAATATCTTATGATTAAGATGAATAGAACAGGATATTCTTTATTAGCATTACCTATATGAGATTGATGTGGGGTCGCATCTTTGAGAATTGGTATGGTTACAATTCTCTAAAGGTCTCATGAAATTAGGATATGTTCAGGACCAAAATGAACACCACCGTATGAATTGACGTGTGTCAAGATGTGATATGTGTGATACTTATTGTCTCGATTTTACTACTAAGAATGATCAGCTCAAGATAGTAAATTCACTGCTTCATTAGGTAAAACCGGTAAGTACTCACTAGAGAAGGTTCAAGTTCAAAAGACACCTATCCCGATGCGTATCATATCTAACTTCTCTGGAAAGACGTTACTAATTTAGCTAGTATCTTATTTTCTATTCAAATGTGGGGTATTGCTAGAGTTTGAATAGAAAATGTGGGGTATTGTTGGAAACCTGTGTTTATGTGGGACTGCCAGTCCCTCATCGCCCATACACCTTTTACAACAACTCTTTATAAGTGAGTTCACTCACTTATAGTTTGAATTGAATTGGGCCAAAGCCATGGACCTTGGGCCTTAGACTTGGAGAGTTTGGGTGTATATATTAAATGCCAAAGATGGGCCTTTGACCTTGGGGCTCTTGGGCTCGGATGGACGAAAAACACAAGTTACGTTTTTGATTTTTTGGATTCAGTTTTTTCCGAAAGGATAAAACTGATTGAACAGTTACGTTCAGTTTTTAAATTGATTGAACAGTTGCATTCGGTTTTTTTTTTTAAAAAAAAAACTGATAAGCATGAACGGTTGGATAAGTTCAAATTATGCCATTATATATATGGCAATAAAATCAGAAACTAGAATCAATTTTTTCCATATTCATTCCTCCATATTTCGCTGAGAACCACACAACCAATTCGCCAAGAATCCAAGTTTGAGTGCAAGAACTTGGATTAGATAGTTGTATCCTGCAAGATAGACATCCATTGAACTGCTGCACTGAAGTAGGGACGAATTTCTGTCTTAGGAGATTGCTTCTGCAAACCTCTATCTTCAAAGAACAAGTCAGTGATTTGTGATTTTATATATAATCTCATTACGTGCTTATGTTTTGATATATTGTATTTGTCGTTGAGTTTTTTTATATTTGAAATAAAACTGTGCAAATTGTTGTATAATATATACTTAACATTTGATTGGATCTAACACTAGTTGTTATGATGTAGAAAGTGGTGATGATAATGATGGCAAAGTTGTAGCGGCAATAGCGACATTGGTGGTTGCGAGTTCAAGGTGGTTGTGGGATGGTGGTGGTGGGCGTGTAAATTCCATGTGTTTTGTTTCACACGGAGTAGTTTTGAATTTCTACATATATTAATTCAAACAAGTGAATTGGTGTATATCAATTGTGAGATATAATACTTTTTCTATCATAAGTTTTAGCTCTTGTTACAAAAAACACGTTGTATATTCATCAATGTTTTAAAAGGCAGAGGCATAGACGAGGCGTTCCATGAATAGTCTCAGCTAAGTGTGAGATGAAGCCTCACTCATGAGACCTAAATATTTTAATATAGAATGTATATATAATTATATCATATAATACTTTGTAAAATAATTAATCAACAATCAAACAAGCAATCAAGACCAAATTGAGACTAGAATACTACAAATCTTACTTGAATTTTGAAACAAAATGTGGTGGTGTGGACAATTTTGAAACAAATTGAAGTATGAGATTAGGGTAAAATTGATATATGGGAACAATCAGGTCAAAATCTGCGGTTTTTTAAGTACATTCACTGTAGGTTCTCTTACTTGCTCTAGTGACTGACAAACGCCAACTAATCGGTAAGCATTCCTCCTGTTATCTAACTTTTTCAGGATTTTTGGCCTACATTACTTTTTCCTTCCTAGACGTCCATTTCAATCGTGCAACTTGCATGAAACCCCGTCTTTTTGTCTTCAAGTATCAATCTTACTCCAGGTGTGACTAATCTTCCAACAAAGACTTCTATTTTTCTTCTCACTTTTGGTTCGAAATTTTATTTTAACTTTCCAGGAATGTTAACAAGCTGAGAGAGGTGCTACCTAAGGATATTGTGGAAGAGATTATTGGGATCCCTACTGGACTTATTGATTTTGATGATCATAGATACATCTGTCAGGGTTCGACTAATGGAACCTTCTTGGGTTTGAGAATTTAGGATTTGAGGGAATTGGGGAATTGTGGAATTGGTGATGTGATTGGGTGAACTGTGAATGGGAAGATGGGAATCGGGTATTGGGATGGGGAAGAAGAGGGTTGGGGTTATAATTGTTTTTTTAAAATAAAATTAAACTTGGCCAAAATGACGTCGTTTGGGCCAAGTCATTAAAAAAAAATTAAAAGACTTGGCCAAAACGACGTCGTTTTGAGCCAAGTCTACAAAAAATAAAAACTAAAATCCTTTTCTTTTCTGTGTGGTCATCTTCTTCGTGTAGATGCCGCCACTGCAATTAAAGAAAAAGCAAAAGGCAACTGCTGCAACGGAGCCAGACTTCGACTTCGGGGTCCCTAGCAAATTTCAAGCAAGATTTTGGCCACCTCAAAACACCCTAAGACACGGCTCAAGACCTAAGCACGCCCCAATGCACTTAGTCAAGTCCTTTGACGGCTCCCACAAAACAAAAGTAGCAAGCCAACTGCCCAGTCTCCAAGGCAGCCTAGGTGCGCCCTGAGGCGAGTATTTTAAAACACTAATATTCATTCTTATTTCTCCTTCACATCTTTGTCTTTGTTTTCTTGAACTCATCTCCAAGTATGGTCATTGGCCATCAAATATTATTCAAGTGAATGAACAAAACAAAATAATCGTATTCTGCTTCCAGAGTCACAAACTATACAGGTACGGTATAACTCTTCAGAGAAAAATCTCACTTGCAAAATGGCGGACCTAGCTCAGTAGTTTAACACAACCAATGTTATATTACATGGGCAATGTAAGAAGCTCCTCTCCTGCAAGGATTTTTGAACCGTATTTAAGGGGCATCACGAACATTACAGGACATTTTCTTGATGTCAATGGCCAGTCGTTTAGCTAGAGCCACACTTGTGATCAATCTTCCGTTCACTGTTAGATAGGTGGTTCAGTTCGAGTCAACCATACTATCATCTAAACATCAATTTGAGTTGTAGGATGGGTTGAACTGTGGAGCGCCATGAAGTGGCTGCAGATTCAGAACATGAAGACTACGGTTGCTGTTGCAAAGATTCTTGGATCATAGACGTCAGAGAAGGATGCATGCGGGCCGTTCTTATTGAGCGAGCTTCACTTCTACCCTCAGCATATTCCTCCCCCAATGGCCACCTTGGCCGCAATTCGTACTGATTGATGATGCAAAATAATTAATAACGCTTACAATAAACATGAAAATAAAAAAATTGATTGAAAAGCAATAATATGTAATCAAAGTTTTCATACAAACCACAATATCTTCAGGTTCATCTGCAGGTGGTGGTGGATCAAATCTTCCCATACGAAAGTTCTCAATGCCAGTCCAAGCCACCATTACACCTGCCAAGGTTAAAACTCAGGTATCAGAAGTTTAAGGTATCAGTCTTAATTGACAGGCGACGACCACCTTGTCAGACAAGCAACATAGGAAAGGCTCCAAAAAAAATTATTTGTAAAGACAGAAAACTAGAGATTTTTTCCACATTAATTTCGTGATGGCCACCTATGGGTACAATTTCTTTTAATACTTAAAATAACGTCATGTCAGTTACTGATGGTTAAAATGCTATGATACTCTTTTATCAAAGGAAAGTTAGCTTCATCCATAAGTTGAGCCGAAACTAGAGAAAAGGAATTACCGTTGTCAGTACAAAGGCAGGGAGGAGGACAGACTAGTTGTAAGCTATTTTTCTTGACAACCTGATCAAGGCGAGACCGAACATATTGATTTGATGCAACGCCTCCGGAGACAACCTGCATAGGAAGAACATAAGGAGGGATCCATGATCAGCAATATTCAGGAATACCATCATAACGAGGAGGTGCCCATTATCATGTGGTTGGTTCAAGAATACAAAATCAAAGGCTGCAGTTTACGCACCAAATGTTTTACAGAAGGTTCAATTTTCAGGGCCCATTCAATTGCTCGCTCACACCTTTCCTCTAGATGTAACACCGCGACTCGCTGCATGCATCAGACAATCTTAATGTGAAGATAGAAATTGGAGAGATAATTAACGCCGACAACTGAATAATGCAGTATTTGATCAAAATAAGATAAAGACCGACAAATATACATCCAGTCACCTGAAAAGAAGCAGCAATATCAGCTCGAATCCTTCTATCTTCGCTACTTGCTGAGGAAAGAGGAATTGTAGTATTACTGCATAACATAGGAAAGTTGGGTGGGTAAAAGTTAATAGCTAAGCTAGCAGACCATAAATCACTGCACAAAAAAGTACAGTTAGTACTGGCAGCAACCAAGAATCAATGATAATAATGTATATCAACAGATTATACATACATATTTTTAGATTCAATTGCCAGTCTCACTTGAGTCTTCAGACCAGCGTACGAGAAGTTGCAATCCTTGTGTTGTTTCATTGGGGTCTAGAAACAAATGAGTACCAGGCTTAGAATACAATTTCACATTGCAGAAATCTCAGTCATCTGTAATAGACTTCTTAAGTAGAACCAGCATATACATTCAGCCAAAGGTGGAAAAGAGAATGTCTTGAAATAAACTTACCGAGAATTTGACTGATTTGGCATCACCCTCACGAGCAAGCTCTTCAATAGCTGGCCCACCACTTCTCCTCAAGTCAAGGCCAAGCCATTTTGCAGTCTTGTCATATGCCTCGCCAATTGCATCATCTATTGTGGTGCCAAGTTGTACATACTGACCAAGATCACGAGCAAGGATGAGTAGATTATGTCCTCCTAAAGACAGACACCAAGATTGTTAAACAATTATGACAGCCCAAATCAAATGTCATACAGCACCAAAAACTTTGATTGAGTCTACAACTTTAGATTGTCTGGGAAGTCATAAGTGTCATCTCTTATCAAAGCAGAAATCCAAATTTAGATAGAAATACAAGAAATAAAAACAAGATACTAGCTTAACAGCCAAACTGCACCGTGAGGAAATTACAAAACAATTCATTTATTTATAAACTAATGACAACTCAAGTTTTACAGAAACCACACTCATGCTTCCAAAAAATACAAATGTTCCCTAACATACAAATACAGTGTTTCGTTTTTTTCTTGTAGTCTCACTCACTTTTTCATAATTTTTCTTGTAGTTGTCTCACTCACTCATTTTTTGCAATGCTGACTTCTGAACTTATCCACAACACCGAAACTCAAAACCTCCCTCCAAAGAAAACACTCAAATAAATTTTTCTTCAACTTAATCGATAAGACAACAAGACATAGCTAAACCACCAAAAAAAATTTGTCAAAAACAAACAATATAGAACTTTTAGATTTTAAGTGAACAAAAAACAACTAATAAATGGTATTTAGCAACCTGTGGAAACTAAGTTTGCACGTATGGCGGCAAACACCACAGAAGTAACTGATGGATATGAGTGTTTTCATGCAGTTTCTTATGTTTATTTTATTTTTCCAAAAAGAAAAGGGTACAGTCATCTAGTCTAAAAATGTAGATGCAAAGTCCAGTGAATTAGTAAAAAGACCTAATGCGGGATAGGTGTATCTTTTCTTACCTGAAATAAGCAAGGCCATGAAAGGAAATTGCAACTCTCTTTCCGTTAACCTAGATCAAGAAAAGGAAATTCATTGTATGCACAAGAGCAACTCAGATCAATATTTTAAGTGCATATAACAACCACATACTTTATGCCCCTAAAAATGAGAGAGGGAGAGAGTTTGTACATTCCAGTTTGCATTGCATAGATAGTCAAAATTTCCGTACCTGGCTACAAGAGCATGAGCCTCCATGTGATGTACACCAATGATCGGTAAGTTACATCTACCAGCAATTTCACGAGCTTTCCGCACACCAACTGCATGAATACAAAATTAGTGCTAATATGCTCCGAGGATACGAAAGAATTCAAGTCTGGTCATTTCTGAGCATAATAAAGACAATGTAACCCATTTCCAGTTTTGAATGGTAAATCACTGCCAAAAAGAAAAATTACATCTACTACTTTCCTCGAACCTATGCCCTGGAAATTCCATAGCACAAACCCAACCATAAGGCATCAGTAGTATGAAAATTTTGCAACACCAAGCAAAAGAGGAAAGAAAGAGAGTGCTGCTATGCAATTTACCACGAAGACAAAGGCCTAAACCGGGACCAATAGTAACCGCCACTGCAGATAAATTCGTCTCAGTTAACTTAGCTTTGTCAAGTGCTTCTTGCACAACCTACAATCAACAATCACAAATTCAGGCCCACATTATCACCGAGAAAAAAAGGAGATAGCCTTGAACCATTTGACTAGATTACAACTGACATTTTGAAATGGCATAAGCAATCCAAATGACACAGCAAGTTCGCAAAATATTGAGCCTATTTGTGTATTACGTGGGTGCTCAACATAAATAACAAAATCTCATTCAAGTAGAAGATGTAAATAAGATATGAACATCATACTGCGTTTAAAGGTGATAGTACGGAGGATGCTATACCTTATCAATCACCTGCAAATGTGCTTCCTCTGCCATTTTTGGAGCAACACCTCCATATTGAGCAAGCAAATCTGCCTTGATATGTGGCCAAGGCTCAAAATTAGATGAACGTATCCAATATAAGTACCACAAAGAAAAACTAAAAATGAATCGTCATTATTGAATATTGGTAATTAAAAGAACGTAGTATGTGGCACTGTCCTAGAACCATATTTCTTCCACAACACACTTTTTTCTAACAAGTAGGTATATGAAAAGCAGCACAGTAGACGATCATTCTTTCTCTGCCAAATTCACCATAAATCTCCATTGTGGATGATTTAAGAGTTGCGGATTGTTTGTCATGAAAGTATGAATCTTTAAGGACATTTGATTGCATTACATAAATCTCCATTGTGGTTTCTCTGGAAAAATTAGATAACTCAATCGCCCTTTTCGAACACTATTCATGACCTACAGTATGGAAAAATTCGAAGCGTAACTAGGTTCCTCACTCTCTAAACGTGCAAAACTAATTTGTGCCAAATTCTTCTTCTTTTTAATGGTTCATCAGAACTCTGCAATTTTACTACCCAAACCAAATCCAAGGAACAAAATGTTCATACCTGAGAAGACACAACTTGGCTGAGGATTTCACCATTGCCTCTCACCTGTACTCATAAAACCCACAAAATACAAAACAAAACCCATCAGAAAAAACACAAAAGTAACAAATACCAAGTACAAAAAACACCAAAGGAAGCAAAATCAGAGTCATACGATAGCGGCGGCGGTGTCGTCGCAGCTCGTTTCGATTCCCAGAACAATAAGATCATCTTGGGGAGATGGAGTTCGACTGTGAGGTTCCGAAAAGGCAGAACTTTTCGATGTCGAGAAAAGGGAATTGGAGGAGTTCAATGAAGAAGAAGAAGAAGAAGAAATGGGAAGTGAAAGGATTGGACAAAGTTTTTGTCGGAGGGGTTTTAGGGATTTGAGAGTGGTTTGTAAGGGGGAAAGTGAAGGTTTTGGGAAAAGATTTAGGCGCCAAAATCTGGAAGAGAGCGCCATTCACAGAGAGGGATACGGAGATGGAGAATGGTGAGTGAATGGTGGAGGATTCAAACTTGAAAGAAGGCAACGTATTTTTCATTTCTCAAAACGTTATTATTATTATTATTATTATTATTTTTTTTTTTTTGGAGAAACTGGGAATAACATTACTTTTTTTTTTTTTTTTTTTTTTTTTTTGAACACCAGTTACCATATCATAAAAGGCCTACAAAGAGGCAAACAAACATACAATAACAAGCAATGACAAGGGGTAAACCACAAAGACCCCTCCACCAAGTAGAAGCGTCACCCCCGACACCACCAAAACAAATTAATGAGGACAAGGTAGCCCATCATTATTCAATACAAAGACCAACGAAGATGGGGGCCTAACGACCCAAACTACATCACTCATCTCCGTAAAACTACCCGATGCAATCTTGTGAGCCACACCATTAGCAGAACGGGGCACCCAAGACCATCGGCAATCAAGAAAATTCCCCCCCAGCTGTTTAACCCGAGCCAGCACCGGGAATGCCTCCCAACTACCCCTGGACAGCGAGCTAGATAAACAATTAATCGCTTCAAGGGAGTCCGACTCAAGAATTACATACCTTACACCCAAGTCTTCACCTAGCTTGCACCCGTGCAACAACGCATAAGCCTCCGCTGCAGCAGCAGAAGGAGCAGAAATAGCATACCGCGCTGCAGCCACAAATTTTCTCTCCATGTCCCGCGCAATCAATCCAACAAATCCCATCTTTGAGGCCTTGGACCAACTAGCATCCACATTAATCTTCACAAAAGGATAGGCCGGAGCACACCACTGCGCCACCTGGGTACCCCTCCTCCCGTCACACCCTCCCCTTACCCCAACCATAGCCTTAGCACCAATAAATGAGCTCATAGCCGCAGAAACATCAGCCAATACTTTTAAAGGGTTAACAGACATCCCTTTGAAAACAAAATCACAGCGAGCTTTCCAAATACACCAACAGGTAAAAACAATATATGATTGTCTCCATATTGTATCTCCAAAGTTGCATAAATTCGGAGAGAATACCTTCTGAATCCATTCCAGCCAAGACGGAAGAGAAAGACGATCCAATTTATACCCCAAAGCCCCACCAAACCAAATTGGCTCAACCCAAGAGCAAGACAGGAAAATATGCTCTATGGTTTCATCATGGCAGCAGCAAATAGGACAAGTAGAGGTCAGAGAGGACCGTCGTCGGTACAGGGCTTCCCGAGTAGGAAGACAATTATGCATCTTAAGCCACAAGAAATGACGCAACTTGGGGGGCACCTCCAGCTTCCAAATCCCCTTCCAGAACTCCTTAGGAACCCCACGAACAGAAGGCCGACGTTTGTCCCTCCTAGCCATTGATTTACCTTGCAACCATCTATAACCCGACTTGACCGAATACGATCCGTTCTTACTCAAATCCCAGATAAGCCTATCATTACGACTTAGATCCCCCAGAGGCGTCTCCTCAATAGCCTTCAAAGCCTCCCCCGATATGAAGGGCTCTAAAAAACTAAGATTCCACCGCCCCGACTCCGAACAGATAAGCGCACTGACCTTCAAACTGGGAGTAACCACAACCTGGCCAACCGGCACCGGATGTCCAAGAGGCAAGGATGGAAGCCACCTATCCTGCCACACCCGCACCTCCTGACCGCCTAAAATCTGCCAATGGGAACCCTCCTTGATCACGTCCCTGCCACATATGAGGCTGCTCCATGCCCAAGAAGCCCTACCACCTTTCTTTGCATCCCATATCGAGCAATAGGGAAAATACCGGGCTTTAATCACCCTAGCCCACAGCGAGTCCGGTTCCGTGATTAACCGCCAACACTGTTTAGCGAGCAGAGCATCATTAAATTCCATAAAGTTTCTGAAGCCTAAACCACCCAAGTCTTTGGGCAAACCCAAAACCTCCTTTGAGACCCAATGAATCTTTTGGGCTCCCTCCTTGCAACCCCACCAAAATCCAGCCACCAACGCATCCAATTCCTGACAAACGGCGGCGGGGAATTTGAAAATGCACATTGGGTACGCCGGAATAGCTTGGATAACAGCCTTAATTAGAACCTCTTTACCAGCCCGAGATAGAGTACTTTGTTTCCACCCTTGTAGCTTTTCCATTACTCTTCCTTTCACATAAGCAAGACCACGCCTTTTCGACCGACCCCAAATAGCAGGGACCCCCAAATAGGTCCCCGGATTGCTAACCACCGCCATACCAAGGGCATTCCCCATCTGATCTGCGTTCACTTTCGGAACATTTGCCCCAAAGAAAACACTGGATTTCTCCAAATTAACCTTCTGCCCAGACGCCACACAAAATTTGTCCAGAATGTGTTTCAAGTTCCTGCAGTTTTTCACATCTGCCCGCAAAAACAGAAGGGTATCATCCGCAAAGAAGAGATGAGAAATCACGGGTCCAGATCCACCAATCTTCACCCCCTCCAGCCTACCTTGGTCCACCGCACCCTGAAACAGTTTGGAAAGAACTTCCCCCACCAAAATGAATAAATAAGGAGAGAGAGGATCCCCCTGACGGAGACCCCGCGAGGGAGCAAAAGACTCTCCAGTCTGCCCATTTAGGAGAACAGCGAACTCCACAGACGAAACACATCCATTAATTAGCGCTCTCCAACTACTGCTGAACCCCATTCTTTCCATTACCGCATCCAAAAAGTCCCATTCAACTCTATCATACGCCTTCTACATATCCAGTTTAATCCCCATTTCAAATCTATTCTTGGCTTTCCTTCCCTTCAAATAATGAAACATCTCATGGGCTATGCCAATGCAATCCTGAATTTGTCTACCCGCCACAAAAGCATTCTGAGATGGCGATATGATTTTAGGCAATAATACCTTCAACCTGTTAGCAAGAATCTTTGACAGTATCTTGTATGAATAGTTACAGAGGCTGATAGGCCTGAACTGCGACACAAATTCCGGATTAGGAACTTTGGGAATCAGAACTATATTAGTCTGATTTATCAATCTCGAACCCGCAACGTCCTGAAGCAACTCTCTGACCAGAGCCGAAACATCCTCCTTCACAATCTCCCAGTATGTCTGATAGAAGATCCCCTGGAATCCATCAGGGCCAGGAGCCTTAAGACCTCCCATATTACCAGCAGCCTCCTTTATCTCCTCCTCCGTGACCGGTGCAGTTAGCGCCCCATTCATTTCTGTCGAGACCGAGGGATTAATGCAATCTAGCAGCGACCCCCAGTTACGATCCCCTGCCGAGCTGAAAACTGAAGAGAAGTGATTATCCACTAAATGGCGCACCTGAGACGAATTTTCCACCCAGTTCCCATTCTCATCCCTAAGCTTCACAATCTTATTTCTCCTTCGCCTCTGAAGGGTTGAAGAGTGAAAAAACTGAGTGTTTGCATCCCCCTCCCTCAACCATTTAACCCTCGATCGCTGGCACCAATAACTCTCCTCTTGGAGTCTTAACTCATCAATCTGCCGAGATATCTCCCTTATCTCACCATAGTTTGGACCCCAGTCTCGCTGGAGTGAGTCTAACTGGGAAAGAAGATCATGGATCCTTCTACCCCGCCCCTTAAATTTGGTACGATTCCACCTGCTCAAACGATGACGACATTCGTTTAAAGATCTCACCCACCTATTCACAGGGCTACCATGATGCCGCTGGTCCCAGCTCATTTCCACCAATTTCTTGCACTCTTCCTCCGAGACCCAGAACGCCTCAAATCTGAACATCTTCCTTCCTTTCTGCCCATCCGATATAGAACTAAGAACAATTGGGCAATGATCCGAGGCTAAAACCGTTTCATGCATAACATGGGAGTTCGGCCAGAGTTGCTGCCACTTTTCATTCGCCATGACCCTGTCTAATCGCTCCTCCACCCAATCCCCTTTTCTCAACCCTCTCCACGTGAATGTTGGCCCATTGAAACCCAAGTCCATCAACTGAGAGGAAGACAGAAACTCTTCTAAGAATCTTGGTCTATTGTACAAGACCTCAACTCCTCCAGACTTCTCATAATCCCATAGGAATTCGTTGAAATCCCCACCACAAATCCAAGGTATGTCTGTGGGGGTAAAATGGTTAACCATCCAATCCCAAAATAGATTTTTCTCAGCTCTATACGACGTTCCGTACACACCCGTAATCCTACTCCATTGCATTTGCCCTTTAATTCTCATCACAGCATCAATAATATGCTTGGACGAAAAGATAATATTCACCTCCAGGTTGTCCTCCCACCATAAACTTAACCCTCCAGAAAATCCAATTGGCGAAACATCAAATCCATGTAAGTAACCCAATCGCCTCCTCACACCTAGAATTCTATGATCTTTCATCTTAGTCTCTGATAAAAAGATCATAGAGGGTCTCTTTTTTCGAATAAGCCCATGGAGAGCCCTGACTGTCATGTCCGACCCTAGCCCACGACAGTTCCAGAATATATAACTCATGGCTGGCCTGCGGCTGTAGAAGGCCAGCCGCCACCGCCCCGAGCCAACTTGCCCGCCTTCCTTGTCACCATCCTCTCTTTAGCAATATCCGACCCCCCTTCCAGTACTTCCTGTCCTCCAAGATTCTCACTTATTTCTTCCTTATCTGCACCCTTCATACGGACCGCTCGTTCCACCGATAGTTCTCCTTCATTGCAATTTAACCTCCTCCCTGTCTCTGCCGCCCTTCCTTGGTAAATTTCTTCCGTATCCGGGCCCTTGAGTTTTTTCTGAGGAGCTTGATTTAGCATCATAACCTGTACTTCCCCACTTCTTTTACTACCCCATAAAGGTTCCTCATCCTGGGCGGACAGAATGTTATTACCCCCCTGGACCTCGCCCGACCTTCCTTCCCCCACTGTTTTAATGCTTTCCATTTCAGAGCAGGAAGACGTATCCTCTGTCTCCCCCCGCATTCTTCTACGCCATTTTTTTTGATCTGTGCCTCGACTCTTTGATGCTCCCCCTGACTCCATGGTTTGATTACACTCCATTCCTTGAGCCTTCGACATCCGTAAACTACCTTGATTCTGTACAGCCGCGATGCCCGATCCTCGCACTGCCCCGGCCTGTCGGCGTTCCCCCCTGCTCACATACTCCACTCTCGTCGATATCGCCACCTCCCTTA